ATATAAAATCCAGAATCCAGTCAAGGCTCACAGATTATATTTGTTTGTTTCATAGACTTTTAATGGCCTCATAGTTTCCTACTTTATGAATTATGAAATTATTTAACCATTCCCCTAATACTGAATTTAGAGATTATTTCTTAGTAACAGTAAGCTTTGAGAAATATGTACAAGGATCTTTTCACATTCTCAGTTATCTCTTGGAATCACTATAAACTTTTTTTTTAAGCTCTTGATACATATTTAAAATTGTTTTGGATGCGTTAAGTTGGTCTTATGAGCAGCATATGGTAATGCTTACCTTATGCTTAGTTTTGGGCAGCGCTGAATAGTAATACTGTATTTAAAGTTTTTTTTGTTTGTTTGTTTGGCAGAAAAAAAAATAAGTTTCTCTGATTTCTTTACATGTTCAAAAATACTTGTACAGAGGTCCGGTCTAGGGTGTCCCAGCTGTGGGTGAAAGGAGTGGCCACAACTGCTTGACCCATCATTGCATGTAGATGGGTGCTTGCAAGCTTTTAAGATCCCAGTCACTATTTGCTGAAGTAGGATGTGGAACAATGTTTTTGTATAGTATGTTATGCCAGTTGAGCTTGATGTGCCCTATGACCATGGTGTGGAGGCCACAGGTCCAACTACTTGCTCCCTCCAGAATATCCACATTTCCATTTCTTGTGCCTTTTAAGAGTTTTGATTCATCATGGATAATCTTCCAATAGAAGAAATAGAGCTCAGGGCTCACCAGGTTACCGATGAGTCTCTGGAAAGTACAAGGAGAATCCTAGGTTTAGCCTTTGAAGTGTCAGGATGCAGGAATCAAGACCATCACTATGGTGGATGAACCAGGGGAACAACTAAACCGTATAGAAGAAGGCACAGACCAAATAAATAAAGACATGAGAGAGGTAGAGAAGACTTTAACAGAGCTCAACAAGTGCTGTGGCCTTTGTGTCTGTCCTTATAATAGGACAAAGAACTTTGAGTCTGGTAAGTCCTATAAGGCCAACTTGGGGAGATGGTGGAGGCAACTTGCCTAACAACATAGTATCTAAGCAGCCAGGCCGTGTGACAAATGGCCAGCCTCAAGAAGCAGCCACACAAGCAGCCAGTGGTGGATACATTAAATGTATAACTAATGATGCCAGAGAAGATGAAATGGAGAAGAACTTGACTCAGGTGGGCAGTATCCTGGGAAATCTAAAAAACATGGCCCTGGACGTGGGCAATGAAACTGAGTCTCAAAATCGACAAATAGAACAGATCACAGAAAAGGCTGATACCAACAAAGATGGTATTGACATTGCCAATGCCAGAGCAAAGAAACTCATTGACAGCTAAAGCTACTGCTGTACTTTATCATTTATTTCCTTTGCTCCTCCTTCAGATCATTACCTTTTCAGAGTTTGAAATTTTGGTCTCATACTCTTCTAACCAGGAGATAATGTGGAAGAAGCGCCAGAGGATAAAAGCCCTCTTAAGTTTTTATTTCTTTTTCCTTTGAGGGCAGAGCTGCTCAGCCTTCCTCCTGGTATTTTTTTTCCTTCAGTTCATATGCTTAGATTGGTTTTCATACATCATATATAGTCTAGTTTTTCCATCTTCTTGCTTGCTTTAGCAGGTTCTTTTGCTTTGAAGATTTGAAAGCATTGCCAAAGATACCCATGAAGAAGGAAGCTATAGAGTTGTTAGAGGTGAAAGAGGGGAGGGTTAGGGATGTTACCTCAGTAATACCCTGCAGGCTCCTAAACAAGGAGTTATGTAGCCACAGTAAAGGTCTAGTTGGGTTTAGTTTTTAATTCAAATAGCAATTTCTGCCACTTTAGTCTAAAGCTTATTTATACACAATATTTTTGTTATATATCACAACCTTGCAACTTCTTCTAAAAGAGGAATAGAATGAGTTTTCTTAAAGTGAGCTTAATTTCTCAACTCTTAGTGATTAATACATATATATGTTGTTGTTGTTGTTGTTATGTGCTGTCCAGTCGGCCCTGACTCATAGCGACCCCTCCTTGGGTTTCCGAGGCAGTATCACTACGGAAGTAGGATTGCCCAACCTTCCTTCCGAGAATACATATATATAGATTCTGTGATTCCCTTTCATATGATACCATTCCAGAATACCGTGTATTAAAAAATGGCTTTTTATTTGCATATTATTATTAGTATCATGATCCCATTACAGGCCTATAATTGTTATTAATCTTTGAAGAGAAAAAAAATATGTAAATATATATGTTTACGAGAATTTCTTTCTAAAGCAGGGCTTAAAAGTTCTTTTAAAAGTTTGAGGAAGTATATCAAGTGAATTCAGATTTACCTCAATGCCAAGAATTAGATAGGAGAAAAGGAACTTATTTTGATCTCAGGTAGAAAAATAGTTTGCTTTGAGTTGTACATAGCTGTAGAGTTTTTTTTTTTTTTTAAGTTAGAACTTACCTGTTTAACTAAAAGTGATTTGGAAATTAAAAAAAACAACAACAAAAAACTTGTACAGGTAGTCCCCGACTTACGATAGAGTTCTGTTCCTCTAACTCTGTTGTAAGTAGGATCTTACACAAGTCGAATACTTTTTATTTTTTAGTTTTTGTTGTTGCCTTCTGTACATTTATAAGTGAACATCTAAGTGATAACATCAGCAAATTACATGCTGCAACATTATATGTAGGACATATTGCTAATCAAATAAACCAAACCCACTGCTATGGAGTTGATTCTGACTCATAGTGACCCTATAGGACAGAGTACAGCTGCCCCATAGGGTTTCCAAGGCTGTAAATCTTTAGGGAAGCAGCCTGCCTTATCTTTCTCCTGTGGATCGGCTGATGAGTTTGAATCACTGACCTTTAGGTTAGGAGCTGAATGCTTTAACCACTGTGCCTACAGAACTCCTTACTGATGATAAGAAAACCAAAAACCAACCAAACTCACTGCCATCGAGTGAGATCCGACTCATAGTGACGCCTCCTTGAAATTTCTGAGGCAGTAGTATCACTATGGAAGTAGATTCCCCAGTCTTCTTTCTGAGGAGTGGCTGGTGGGTTTGAACTGCTGATGATAAGATGTACCAACAAAAACAAACAAACAAACAAAAAACAGATAGTCATAAGTGTGGTTCACCGTAACTTGAATATGTTGTAAGTAAGGGACTACCTGTATTTCTTTTATGAATTGTCTGTTCTGTCATATGTCCATTTATATGTTGGAGTTCTTTGCATTAATTGTTTTATTTTATAGACTAGTCTTCTGTTACATTTGTTGCAGATATGTTTTCCTAGTTACTTGACTTTAGTGTTATTTATTACATTTTTTGGCTTGTGGTGTTAACTGCTTTTTAAACACATAGGCCTATTCATATACTTTGGTTCTATGCTATATAGATTTGTTACAAAAATTTTTTCATGGAATTTTTCTAGTTTCCATACATGTGCTTTATGAACCCCTTCTTTGCTCATCTGATGATGATTTTTTTTTTTTCACTTGTCAGTAATCCTATTTGAATGTAGAATTTTTCTATCCCTGATAATATTTTTTCAGAAAAAGATAAAATCTGTATATGTTTGTACCTTACTCCTGTTGAGTGTTTGTGTTAATAGTTAACTTTTTAGCTGCTTTCGGTAGAAAGAAGCACTAAAGGAGCAAGATTCTTTTACCTTTTCAGATTTGGTTAATAGATGGTTGGGGTGTGGTGAGCCATAATAAAATTCAAAGAGTACTTTGAACAAAGTGTCTCAACCTATGTGGGATAGATGATTGTGTCCTTTTGCTGTGTAGTGTTCTGGGAATGTCAGTGGAATCTGCTTCTGTGGGTGAAGAGAAGGAAGAAGAGGTGGAAGAGAAGGAGAAAGAGGAGAAGGAAGAAGATGGTACCACACATTCCATAGGTGATGAAGGTAGCTTTATGCCTTTTTCAGGAGAGTAAATTGTTCTAAGTTACTTTAACATGAGCATATAGACGTCTAAATTTCTCTTTATCAGATTATAGATTTCTTATCAGGTAGTTTAAGTTGAGAATAGTTATTTAAAAATTTGCCAGGTAGTCCACCTAATTTGATGTTCAGGAATTTGTAGCTTCTTAAGCCCCTTTTCTGCATAGTGATTCTTCTTTCTTTATTCATTTGTTTTTAAAATATTTTTGGGAGATATACTTTGTAGGGTAGAAGTGCAATCTGAATTGGTTTGTGTGTTTGTATAGTTTATATATATCTTTGGAAAGTTGATATAATCTGTCAGTGTGAGATGTGCATAAGGTTTTATGGTAGTACACAGTATTTAGCTTCATTATACATTTTTCCTTTTCACTGTTAAAGCTTTTCATTTTTGATTTTCTTTTGAAAAATTTTTAGGGCAGGTCTTTGATGTGAGAATTTAACATGACCTTTATGCGTAGGATAGTAGTACACACAGTACATAATGTTGTGAGATGATAGCTAATTTTGTGTGGTTTTGGTTCTAGATCCTGCCTCATCACAGTTGGGCTTTGGAGTTTTGGAACTCTCCCAGAGCCAGGATGTTGAAGAGCATACTGTGCCATATGAAGTAAACAAAGAACGCCTACAGTCAGTAACTGCTACTGACTCTGGTTATACCAGGCTGTCTGATGTGGATGCTAACATTGGTATGGAATACGTTTTATGGCATTTGGAGTTGTTTGAGTGTTTCTTCCCGTGCTAGAGCTAGTTATTTCTTGTTATGATTATATAATTAAACTTTGTCTAGTAAGCAGGGGAGGGAACACTGCAAAAAAAAAAATGCATTGACCCATGTCACTTTACTTTTGTGTATTTTACTGTGCATAAGTTATATTTCAATAAAATGTATTTTAAAAAAAGTTTGTATAGTAAGGTATGCAGCACTGCTGCAGAGTTGTCTGGTAACTACTTGTTGATTGCAGAATAAATTTTTTTGGAAATAAGTTATTGGTCACTTTTTATTTTGGGATGATCTCTGTATACATTTTCAAATTGGTCTTTATTACAATCTTTTCTTTTTAAAAGCATTTGAAACTACTTTAAGTACTTTGAAAATTAAATATCTCCTCCTTTCTTATAAAATGTCAAGCAGTTAAGTGTGGAGAACAGTCCAGTGAAGATATCCTCGTGGCAGGACCACCTAGCAAGGATGAGCCCATGATAATAGAGCCCAGTAAGGAAGCACACGTAGTAGAAGAGCAAAATCCACAACCTGCTAGGTAAGCCATATTCTTTCTAGAAGGTATTTATAAGTTTCTGCTATAAAGTCGTACTAATTTGATTTTGCCAGGTGGAAACATTTTAGAAATTATAGATCTTTTCTTTATATTGGGAATACTTATAATCTAGTGGAAGCATTGATTGTTTATGAATTTTACTCTGTCCTCATCTTTAGGCACATTACAAAGCCTATTTTTTGCTGCTGGTACTATAAGCAGGACTCCTTCATCTTTGGTTGCCACTCTTCCTCTCTGATGTTATGAGTATTATATTTGAAGGCTTAATTGTTTCTGTATTTGAGGAGCACCCAGATTGCTTTGGTTCTCAGATACCACACATCTGGTGGTTTATGGTATAGATTGTGGGACATTCTTATCCCATGTCCTTGGTAAGGATTCCTACCTGGCTCTTCGTAGGAATTGGGAATTATATCTCTGCTCTGTGGTGATTGTATCCAAAACGAGTATTGCCTCTGGCCAACAGCTGAAGTTTGCATATGGCAGAGGAAAAGTGGGGTGCTTTCAGTTTGGGGGAAGGGCTGGATGAATAGTCAGTATTATTCTGTTGTTTCCTTCAATAGAAATAGTGGTGAGTAGGTGTTCCTAGTGTTCCTAGTGCCACTCTGAGAGGAATATACCACCATTGGGATGGCTTGAACAAACGGGAGTTTATTCTCTTACAATTTTGGAGGCATTAAGTCCAAGTTCAAAGTGCCAGGCTCTGGGGGCTGGGTGAAAGTCCCTCAGCTATGAGCTTCAGCTCTGCCTCCTGTTCCTGGTCCACAGAAGCTAGAGGCTTTTCTTCACTCAAACAGCTGCTGGATGCTGAGGCTGACAAGCCTAAGGTTGACAAGTGAAAAGTCCCAGCGTTATCAAACAATACGGCAGGCCACTAATTCAAGTCCAGATGAAGTCTCAAGATCGGCAGGGCATGGCAGGCTGTTGAACAACGACTTGGCTACATGCAGGGTTCAAGCATAACAAAAAGCTAGAAACCATTTCCAAAGCTGTTTCTTATATACGGGAAGCAGATCACATCCCTAAAGCAGCTACTCAGCTGCCCCAGTAGATTCCACCATGGAATTAATTATTAGTCCCACCATGGGGAGTAACTTCATCCAGCTGCCCAGCCATTTAGCTAGGCCCAGCCAAGTTAACACACAAACTTTACCACAGTAGGTTTCTGAAAAAAGTTGAATATCAAGAGATGTTGTCTTCCTAATGGAAAACAGTCAGGTGACTGGCTGACATCTTGGACCGGTTTTTCTTTGGTACTTGACATTTTAGTCAGTTTTGCTATCCTGTTTATCCCGGGGAGCGGTAGAATAGGTTAATCTCCTAAGTTTCTGGGAAGGGGACAGCAGGTATGGGTTGTATTGATATGAAAGGGTCTTGATTTGGGGCCTAGGTTGGGTAGAGCAGATAGAAAGGGCCAGTAGAAGATAAAGTATACAGCAGTGACACAGCGAATAATTCATATCCAAGTACAATGGATGGACATTGTTAAGATTGCCCTCCTTACTGGCATTGCGGTGTCTGGATCAGAATCTTTCATACAGGTCTACATAAAAGAATGTTGTTGTTGTTGTGTGCCGTCGCGTCGGCCCCGACTCATAGCAACCCCTCCTTGGATTGCCGAGGCAGTATCACTACGAAAGGGAAGTAGATTGCCCATCTTTCCTTCCGAGGAGTAGCTGGTGGGTTTGAACTGCCAGCCTTCTGGTTAGCAGGCAAGTGCCTTAGGCACTGTGCTACCAGAGCTCCTATATAAAAGAATATGTAACAAAAATCCCTAAATCACTCGTCAGAAATCTTGGAATGTGTACTGCACAGTAGAATTGAAGCAGAATTGAGGAGAGGTATTGCTGTGTGTGAGATACCGGGACAGGCTTTGTAATGGGCCGAGGGCTTTGTATTATTATAAAGAGTAGATTATTTTACCTTCAATAGATATACAAATTAGAGGTACTGGGATTTTATTAAAGAAAAACACACAAAACAGAAAATAGCTTTTAGTTAAAAAATGAAAGCATTTAAACTTAGCAGTTTTTTCACCTGGTGATACAAATTTCCTAGGCCAGAGGCCATGCCTTCTAGTCCCAAAGTATCTCTTGCTGCTGCGGAATCTGCTCGGGAACTTCTGGAAGGGGAACTCCAGATTCAGAAGTCACCAGAGCCTGAGATTTTGTCAACTCAGGAAGACTTGTTTGACCAGAGCAATAAAACAGGTACAAAGTGTGATAAGTTGCTCTAGCTCATCTTCTTGTTTTCTGAGGCTACTGTGTCAGTTAGAAAGTGCTTTGTAGGTATGCAGACTTGTTAATGATACAGGAGTAAAATATGTTTCCAGCTAATAAGTGAGAAGGGTTCCTTGGGAATGATTGCAATTTAATGTTTGAACATAGTTTTCTGCCTCTCTTGGAACTGGAGATACTGAAGAATAATAACTAATATAGTAAAGTTAGTACTGTGGACAGAGTAGTCATTGCTTCTTTTGTCATTATATGTTTACTAAGTCTTCAAATCTTAAGTAGCCTGGTAATTAAGTTTTTATACTCACCTGATAATAGTCTACTCACTCTTCTGTTTATTATTTCATCTGTCAGAAATAGGAAGTTATGGTTTAGCAGATAGAACTTAGAATTTAGAAGACTAGGATGATATTTGCCTCCCCTGTCCTAGAAAGTCAAAAACCTTCAATGATAACCAGTGAAATATTTACTTATTTTTAAATTGTGATTTGGGTGAAAGTGTACAGAGTATATTAATTTTTCATTTAACAGTTCATGCACATTTTGTTTCATGGCATTGATTGCAATCCCCATAATGTAACAGCTCTCTTCCCAGTTCCTTCCTCTGGTTGCCTTTTCCCTGTGTCCTCCTTTCCTATGCATTCCTACCCTCTGAGCTATCTCCCTGTGCAAATACTGCCCTTCTCTATCTCCCTGTGCAAATACTGTCCTTCTGAACTCCCATAGTTAATTGTTCTAAGGAGTGTACCTACCTGATATAAATGTTCAGCTTTATATAGACCTGTCCATTCTGAACTCCCATAGTTAATTGTTCTGAGGAGTGTACCTACCTGATACAAATGTTCAGCTTTATATAGACCTGTCCATTGTCTGTCTGAAAACCATGGGATTGAGTTCAATTCTAGGCCTGAAGGGTTACTGTGGGCCATAGTCTCGGGGGTTTCACCAGTCTCTGGCAGAGCAGTAAGCCTGGTCTTTTTTATGATTTTGAGTTTTGTTCCACATTTTTCTCCCACTCTATTCAGGATCTCCTATTGGGGAATACTATGTTTTGATTGGAAGAAAGGAAGGGAAGAAGGTGATATTACTATAGATATTACATTACTATGATGTAGGTTGCTATGAAAGACATTCAGAGAGTCACCAAAATACATTTTTTTGGTCTCCCACTAAAGCTATAAGTTATAATTTAAGAAATTCCTTTATACTTGGATTTAGTACAACTGATACTCCATTTTTTGCTAGAGATGGGGACTAACAGGAGAGTCTTCACAGTATAAATCAGTATTCTATCATGTATGCTCATATATTTTACTGATGTGTTAGATTTTATGTCTTTTTTGGGGAGGCCCAAGTTCTAATCATGTCAGAATTGATACATTAACATCATTGCATGAGCTTTTACTTCATGTTAGGTAGACCTTGGAATAAAAGGCTTGCTTGCTGTTTTATAATAGAAGCTTCATAAGGCAGAGATATAAGGATTCTGACTTTTCCTCTCCAACTTTATATCATGAAAGAAGGAACTAAGGAATTCTTTTAGTCAGGTTTTTTTTTTTTTTTTTTTTTTTTAATGGTCATTAAAGATTAGTAGTGTGACATTCTATCATTTGCCCTGTTTCTGGTTAGAAATACCAATATTCTGGTTGGGAATATCAATATTACTCTTCTTTTTTTGTTGTTGTTGTACTAGGGGGTTTTTTGACCACTTAGTAATGTCAGTCTGAGAAGTAAATGCAACTGTAATTTCTTTTTTTCTTTTGTAGCCTCTGATAGTTGCTCAACTCCTTCAAGGGAGGAAGGTGGATGCTCTCTGGCCTCCACACCTGCCACCACTCTGCACCTCCTGCAGCTTTCTGGTCAGAGGTCCCTTGTTCAGGAGAGTCTTTCCACGTAAGTAAGCCTAAATTAGCTTCTACAAAGGAGGCATATGCCTGAGGGGCTAAGGCTAAAGCTGAAAGAACTAAAATTACCCGCTAATACAGAAAAGTTCATCTCTAGGCTTTAGAATTTCTGGGGTGAGCATTTAGTGGTGCTGTTGGAGGCAGATAGATTTTGCTTTCCCATTTGGAATTTTTGTAACAGTAGCCCAAAGTTTTCATTAGTATAGAAAATACTCAGTTATTTAGAGAATTGTACTTTCAAAATAAGCATTTTGCTTCTCCACTTTATTAGCAGATCTTCCCATTGACCAGTGAAGGATAGAGAATTTATGTATAGTTGATTTATAGTTGAGTTTCTTATTTCAGTATTAGACAAAATAATTTTTTTTTTTAATAAACTTTTATGGTCTTCCTGTTAGGCAAAATATGTAGTAAATATTTTTTATGTTTCATATCTGTAAATAAATTTATTTTTTAGTACTTGTTCATCCTGCTTTTTAATCATGCTGTCCTTGTGTCTAGTCATTCCCTTTTGCATGTAATCATACAGCTTGGCCATTACTCTTTTTTTTTTTTTTTTTTTCTTATTTTGGAAATGTCTGAGGTGAGAAATAGTTATTGAAGTATTCATGGATTTTCTACCTGCCTCAGGCAGCTTTTTGATAGAAATGCTAATAAGTATTTGTCTGAATGACTTAGATATTTTTGCTATTAAAAAGTAAAAATACAGAAACACATAACTGTGACTTTGGTAAAATAACCTGTAGTTCTCTCTTTATATAAAGGAATTCCTCAGATCTTGTTGCTCCTTCCCCTGATGCTTTCCGATCTACCCCTTTTATCGTACCTAGCAGTCCCACAGAGCAAGGAGGGAGAAAAGGTGAGCTCTTTTGATCTGTTTCTGTTGACTTCAGATTAGAAGAAGAGCAACCCTTCTTCTGCCTTGTGAAATGCATCATTTCTTTGTATGTTAGAACTCTGTGACCCATACTATTCAGTAGGATTCATGTCTATCTAACTTCTAGGGATATGGCTTTGTGTAAAGTGCTCTCCTCAGTTCTTTGCTTTTCTAGTACTAGTTCCTCTGGAAATTCTATATTGTTGAATTAATTTTTTAAAAGATCCTTAAGGAAAAATCTTTATAGTTCAGCTCAAATTAGTTATATAGTGAAGAACTGGATTTATTGCTAAAGCCCCAGTAGTTTCTAGCAACATGTCAACATGTTACTGGTGAGAGGGAACAAAAAATTACAGTTTTTGATCTTGATAGTTTATTTTTGCTATTATCAAAATACTTTTAGCCAAAAAGTGGCTAGGACCAGGTGGTAGAAATTTCGACTTCATTCAGTCCCTGAGGACTTAGTGACTTTGGATTACTTTTTTCAGAAGAGAGCTTTTATTTTTACTTTTCTAATTTATCTCATTTTGTAACTCTTTTGCTCTGCCCCTGTGTCTTATCCACATCATTCAAAATATTTCTAAATTCCTTCTACAAAGCCATTTCTAGTAAATTCTATGATTTTCTCCTTTTCATTCTTCCACATACCAGTAATGTTATAATAGTTAATATTTATATTCTAGATACTATTCAGGATGCTTTGATTTATCTCATTGAAGGCTCACAACAATCTTAAGAACTACGTACTACTTGTCATTTGCCGTTTTACAGATTAGGAAACTGAGACACAGAAATTTCTCAATTATAAGTCATGAAGAAAGGATAGTTAACTTTTTATGAAGTGTGCTTTATTCACGACAAAATTTAATCTTAGACTTTCTTCTGCCACAAAATTTGTGTCTGGTTCTTTTTGCTCTGAACTCATTTGTAAGTTATCAAAATGGACTAGTATCAGACTAAGCATAGCATGATTAATGACATCTGCAGTAAAAAATAAAGGTGAAGACATTTTATTAAAAAAACCCTCTTAATGCAAGTTGTGTTTATTCTTAGAACCATTGTTTCTATCAATAGTGTAAGCATTAAGAAATACTAAAAATAATTTTATTAAAAATACTTTATTCCAGGCAAGTTTGGATAGTGTAGGAAAATAATGAAAAGAAAACAAAATCACCTGTGATACGGCAGTCCTGTTGTAATTATAATTAGCATTTGGCTATATTTCCTTTCAGCATGTTTTCTGTCCATAAATATAAAAAAAATTCATATAAAATTGGGATTGTGTTGTATATATGATTCAGTTTGCTTTTTTTGTGTCATAGTTTCTCGTGTCAGTTATATTTTAGATTTAATGTATTTGCTTACTGTATGCATAACTGTTTGTGGGACTGTATATAGCCTTTTTGTATTTGTGTTATTTGTTGTTTTTCTTAGATTATTAACCTAAAGCCTTTATGTAGATAGTGGTTAGAGCAGCAGGTCCATAATAAGTGGTTTATCATGATAAGAAAGATCAAAAAGTGCAATGAAAATATTAGTCCACCTTAGTAATGTTATAAAATCCTGCAGTACTGGATCATTAACCTAGTATTAGACTGGAATGTGAGGGTGAGGACAATCTGTACAGCAAGGATGGGTACTGAGGATGGAGGAGGAGAGGAGTAGAAAGGTGGCCTATATGGATTATAGGAAAAACTAAATAGTGTAGGTAGTTTGTGATGGTGGTTTAGAGGTAGCCTAGTTAGGGTCAAGTTGTAAAATAGGGCAAAAGGGACTGATGATTCAAATAGCTAGCTAGCGAGGCTGGCCTGGAGAAGGTCCTTTTAGCCTTACTATTATAACTATTATATAGTGGGAAAGCAATGTTTATTGGGTGTGTGTGTGTCTGTGTTTCCTTTCCTATTTCAGAGCAGTGCCTTGTTCTTCTCATTCTTTGATAAATCAGTGCTGATTGGCAATGGTAGACTTTTTTTCATCCCCTGTATTTGCCCTGGCATCCATCTCACTGCTGATTTCAAGGTCTATGGCAGAATTATACAGTGGTTAAGTTAGATGCTATCAATTTTGCTGGGCATACCTCAGCAAAATGTGTACAACTGAGTTGTGATCAGGAAAGGGACTCAGAGGAGCCAAGTTAATTTAAAATACCATATAATTATGGTATGAGTAAGGCATATCCCCAGATTAACTCCATTTTAAATCTGTACCTGAATATTTTAGTAATGTGATATCTCTCCACACTCCTAAGAAAGTGCTTCTAGAACTCAGTCTGGCATCATTTTGTCAGCTTTTTTGAAAATTAAGTTGCTGGGTTTTTTAGGAGCAGAAATTTCTGTGATGTAATTGTTACAGGTGATGTTGGAACATGAGTAATGTTGATGAGTGATTATTTCTTACTTGTTTTCCTGTTTTAAACCAGATGAGCCGATGGACATGTCAGTGTTACCTGAAGAAGGGGGAGAACCTTTTCAGAAGAAACTCGATGATGAACCAGTGGAGTTAGAAAACCCACCTGAGCCAACTGTTTCACCACAAGCCTCTACACCAGTATCTCAGAGCATGCCAGTCTTCACTCCTGGGTCACTTACTGTCCCATCCCAGCCTGAATTTTCTCATGTGGGTATTACAGATTTTTTGGGTGGGTGGGTATTATAACAATTTTTATTTATTTAAACAGCTTTACTGAAGTATAATTTACAAATTATAAAAGTAATCCACTTCGAGAGTGCAATTCAGCAGTTTTTAAAAATTAATGAAATTATGCAACTGTCATCACAGTCCAGTTCTTTGGAATATTTATAGTCTTTTAACGTCGTAATACAGATTTTTTTTTTTTTTAACTTTTTATTGTGATTTGGATGAAATTTGACAAAGCAGATTCATTTTATATTCAGCATTTCATACACGTTTTGTGACACCAGTTATGTTTCCTGTAGTGTAACAGCTCTCTTCCCACTTCTTCCCTGTTTCCTTCTGGCCTATGCATTCCTGCTTCCTTACCTTTTTGCCTACGCAAATGCTGCCTTTCTGATCTCCCGTGGTTGATTGTTCTAAGCAGTATATCTCCCTGGTATAGGACTGTGTTGTTTGCCTGAGAGTTAAGCCACAGAGGTGAGTTCAGTTCCAGGCTCTAAGGGTGACTTGGGACCATTGTTTCAGGGGTTTCACCAATCTCCATCAGACCAGTAAGCCTGGTCTTTTTTTATGATTTTGAGTGATGATACAGTTTTTATGTTTAAATTTTGTTCTGTGTCTTTAAGCTTTTTCAAAATGTTATGGTTATGGCAAATTGAAAGGGAGCATTAATCATATTCTGCCTTAACACGACTGTCGTTTTTGTGTTTTCCATATGGCTGCTCTTTTTAATGTAGTTTAAAGTGAACATGCAACTTTATCTTCTTTTTATTTATATAACTTTTGAAAGCAACAATGTGAAGATAATGTAACACTGAAAAATTATAATTTCAATTACAGTTTTCAGTGTTAAATTGTTTTCATATTATCGCTTTCAAAAGTTGTATAATCTCCTTCTGAGTGATTGTACCATGTTTAATTAATCATTCCTAAACAGGGAACATTTAGATTGTTTTTTATCTCTTCCTGTGTATATTTTCCTAAAATCAAGGGAAATTTAATAATTTTCATAATTTTAAATTAAAATATTTAAAGAAATGAAATGCAGGGTTTATAGTGAATTGGAGGTCCTTAAATGATTATATTATTGGCCCAGTTGACATACCATTCTTGCAAGATCTTAAGTAGAGAAATGATCTTAGTGTTACTGGGGAACATTTTTCTGCCTTTTAGTTTGTAGTTGTTGTGACAAGAGCTTATACTTAGCAATTTAAAATGAATGGTAATGAAGTAGTGAGGTACTCTGGTGGTGGTTAAGGCATTGAGCTACTAACCAAAAGGTCGGTGGTTCAAACCTACTGTCCGCTCTGCAGAAGAAAGATGAGGCAGTCTGCTTCTGTAAAGACTTACAATCTTAGAATTCCAGTGGGGGTCTTTAAGAGTTGAAATTGACTTGATGGCAGTGAGTTTGGTTTGGTTTTGGTTTTAGTAGTGCAGTATACCATAAAATCAGTGAGAATGGAAGACCAGTAGGGAGAAAGAAATTTAACTGCTGTCTGGAGTTTTATGAACTTGTTGTTTGTTTAAAAATTCCATTTTATACCAATTTTTAGGGAGAAAGAAATTTTAACTGCTGTCTGGAGTTTTATGAACTTGTTGTTTGTTTAAAAATTCCATTTTATACAAGTCTTTAGAAGCTATTTGATAGTGTTAAGTATAAGTCAGAATTACCTGGACTCACTCCTAGCTCTGACATTACTACCTTTGTGACTGATTGAAATAGTACCTCATTTTCCTCATCATTAAAATGGGGGTGATGATACCATCTACCTCACAGGGTAGTTGTGAAGGTTAAATGAGTTAAAATATATAGCCCTAGAATAGTGTCTTACATGTGGTATATACTGCATGAGTCTGTGCACGACTGCTTGTTTAGCTGTTGCTGGGAGTGAAAGGGTGATGGAAAGTTTTCCTAGAGAAGGAGTGACTATTTAACCACCATGGATTATTTTCTTTAGGTTTTGTATATATTTTTTTAATCAAAATTATACATGAATATATAAATATATATATCGAGAGAGAGGATACTAAAAGAGTCATCAGAATTTTGAGATGTGTTCTAAGAACTGAGACAAAACACTGAGGAGAATTTTCTAGAAAAGATTGTTGTTAGGTAATCTAGAAAAAGTAGGTGATAATAAAGAGAAAAGTTACAGATACTTATCAGTGACCAAACGAAGGCTTTTATGGAAATGAATGTCTTTGTAGTGGCAGCTGCATTAGTGGGGAAAAATGCCTGGCCACAAAGGGAGAAGTGATTTTCAAAGAAGGTATTGTTAAAGAAATTTCCCCTCCCTCAGCATTTACCAAAGACCTGCAGAGGCACCTATAAAATCAGCAATAAAAATTGAGTGAGTGATTCTGAACATAGTTTAAAGATCCCTGGAACCTAAGAAAAGTTAACTCTAGTCAAATTTCTTTGGACTCATATTTTAAGGTGTCTCAACCAACACTCACAGCATCCAGAATTGACTCTATGACAGTGTGTTTGGGTTTGGTTTTTAGCTAGTATAGTCTATGCCTTCTAAAAAAAGTCTCTCATGTGTATCTTTCTTTTTTTTTTTTTTTTTT